TTTTAGTAGAGACGGGGTTTCACCGTGTTAGCCAGGATGGTCTTGATCTCCTGACCTCGTGATCCTCCCGTCTCGGCCTCCCAAAGTGCTGGGATTACAGGCTTGTGCCACCGCACCGGCCTAGGATCTTCTTTAGGAAGCTTGCCTCCTTTACTGAAGCCTTATCCCTTCCTACATCTTTGTGATCATTTATAATCCAATTTACATTTTAAGTTACTTACATAATTGTTTTATCTTCAAAAAGTGCTTATTCTTTGAAGGCAGAGAATTATATATTCATCTGTAGAGCTACAGTGTATCTCTGACTTAACTGTAGCTGCTTAGTGAGTATTTGCTACATTGAATCTATAACTTACTTTTCTGGAAGAAGGTGGGTGGACTTGTGGTTTTGAAGCAGAGACCTTTGGAAAGATAAAGTATGGATTATCCCGGGCCTGACATCTAAACCATCTATATTGTAGTTCTGAATGTTGTCTAGCATATTGCTGGAACAGTCTGTCTCTTGCCTCGTTGATCACACCTTTCTGAAATCTGCTATGAAGAGAACATGTCACCATTATCTTTTGCATTGTTTTTAGGAGACCCAAACATGGCAGCCCTGGAGGAAAGCTTCCCCCGAGGAGGTACAAGAAAGATCCACAAACCAGAGAAAGCTTTCCAGCAGTCAGTTGAACAAGACAACTTATTTGATGTAAGTAGTATGCTTGTTTGGTGACACTCACTGGAAACTTTTACTCTAGGGTCTTGTGAAAAATGAGCCTTATTTGAGAATGTGTTATTTTCCAGAATTTTTTTTTTGCGTTGAAGTCTGTGTCTATAAATTTAATTCATTTAGAGAGGCCGTACCACCACGATCCTGTATCTTTTGAAACTTGGCATTTAGTATTAGAGTTTAAAGTACAGTTGTTAGCTGGGTGTAGTGGCTCATGCCTGTAATCCCAGCAGTTTGGGAAGCCGAGGCAGGCGGATTAATTGAGGCTAGGAATTCAATACTAGCCTGGCCAACATGGTGAAACCCTGTCTATACTAATACCAAAACTTGCTGGTCATGGTGGTATACCTGTAGTCCTAGCTACTTGGGAGGCTGAGGCATGAGAATTGCTTGAAATGACAAGGCGGAGGTTGCAGTGACCCAATATTGTGCCATTGCTCTCCTGCCTGGGTGAGAGAGCGAGACTCTGTCTCAAAAAACACACAAACAAAATAAAGTGCTGCAGTTTCTTGTTCTTAGGCTCTCTTTGCTATGTGCCATGTTGATGAAGGATGGAGAGGAAGCAGTTTTTTTTTTTTTTGAGACGGAGTCTCACTCTGTTGCCCATGCTGAAGTACAGTGGCGTGAGTAGCTGGGATTACAGGTGCCTGCTACCATACCTGGCCAATTTTTGTATTTTTGTTAGAGACAGGGTTTCACAATGTTAGCCTGACTGGTCTGAAACTCCTGACCTCAGATGATCCGCCCACCTTGACCTCTCAAAGTGCTGGGATGACAGGTGTGAGCCGCTGCGCCCAGCCGATGTTTTTCTTGTTTTTGTTTTTGTTGTTTAAAGAGATGGGGAGGGATGATGTTTCACTCTGTTACCCAGGCTGGACTTAAACTCCTGGGCTCAGTCGATCCTTCCTCCTTAGCCTCCTGAGTAGCTGGAACAGCAGGCATGTTCCACTGTGCCTGACTGATCATTGCATTTTTACATGGGTTCCACATGTAATGGTCAGAATTTACATTAGACTTCACAGTCTCACCTAGACTAGACTGTGCTCCAAATGCTTGGGGAAAGGGAACTAACATTTGAGTGTGTGGCTTTAGGTCTATATTATGTAACCTTTTCAACTGTGCTGTAAAGCAGCAATTGCAGTTCCATGATGAGGAACAGTGTCTTGCTCTGTCGCCCAGGCTGGAGTGCAGTGTTGTGATCTCAGCTCACTGCAATCTCTGCTTCCTGGGTTCAAACGATTCTCCTGCATCAGCCTCCGGAGTACCTGGGACTATAGGTGTGTGCTGCCATGCCCGGCTAAATTTTTTTGTATTTTTAGTGTAAAAAAATACAGCCTGTTGGCCAGGCTGGTCTTTAACTCCTAGTCTCAAGTGATCAGCCCGCCTTGGCCTCCCAGAGTGCTGGGATTACAGTCAGGAGCCACTGTGCCTGGACTTTATATAATTTAGCTGAAACCACATAGCTTGTTATGGTTGAAAAGATGAGAGTTTAACTTGGGTCTGTGTAACTCCAGTGTCCATTTTCATGCACTCTTCTACATTGCTTCTCAAACTGAGGAACCCCAGTGTTCATCCCAGTCAAGAGAGGAAGAACAGAGAGGAAGAACACAAGAGAGAAGAGACTTTGGGAACATGAAGGAGGCTTCTCAGACCTTGGGCAGAGGGAGCATTGGCAGCTCTTTTTTTTTTTTTTTTAAACAAGAATTAAAGGAACACTTGGGAGTGGGATGGAGTAGGGTGGAGTGAAGGAGTAACAAAGCAAGGTGAGTGATTACCTGAAATAGGAGGGAAAAGTCAGATTGCTTCTTACTCTTTTGGGTCTTTGTGGGTTCCCCCTACCCGCTTCTAGATTTCTACTGAAGAGGGATCCACCAAAAGAAAAAAGAGCCAGAAGGGGCCAGCAAAAACAAAAAAGTTGAAAATCGAAAAGAGAGAAAGCAGCAAGTCCGCAAGAGAGAAGTTTGAAATCCTTAGTGTTGAGGTTTGTTAAAGTTGGTTTTCATTTAAACAATTGACCTTGGTTGCTTAAGTTTGTGTATGTTCTTTCTCTCTTCTTCCCTTCTTTTTTCCCTTAATTCCATTTTCCCCTTAATATATTATACTTCGTGTGTGTGTGTAGAGATTCTTGCAATTTATGATAAGGACTGAGCATAATTTCATTCTGTTGCTAACCGATGCTAGGAATCTTTTTTTTTTTCCTTTGTATTTATTTATTATTTTCCAGAGACAGGCCTGACTCTCTTGCTCAGGCTGGAATGCAGTGGCATGATCATAGCTCACTTTAGCCTTGAACTCCTGGGCTCAAGCAATCTTCCTGCCTCAGCTTCACCTGAGCAATTGGGACTACTGCAAGTGTGTGTCACCTTGCCCAGCTAAGTTTTAAATTTTTTGTGGGGCTTGGATCTTGCTCTTTTGCCTAGGTTGGTCTTGAACTCCTGTGCTCAAGCAGTCCTCCTGCCTCAGCCTCCCAAAGTGTTGGGATTATAGACATGAGCTACCCACCATGCCTGCCCCCTTTTTTTCCTTTAGAACTGCTGTGGGCTTGTGTCCTCACAGGACTTGTGTTGTCATATATTCAGAGGTTAGAATGGACAGTAACTTTAGCAGTTATTCTAATCCTATCCATTCATTTCATATATGTGAATCCCATCTCCAAGAATTGAAGTGGTCTGACTGTGTTCCTTACATTTTTATTTTTTTATTTTTAAATTATTTTATTTAATTAATTAATTTATTTATTTTGAGACAGAGTCTCGCTCTGTTGCCCAGGCTGGAGTGCAGTGGTGTGATCTCGGCTCCCTGCAACCTCTGCCTACCAGGTTCAAGTGATTTTCCTGCCTCAGCCTCCTGAGTAGCTGGGATTACAGGTACACGCCACCACGCCTGGCTAATTTTTGTATTTTTAATAGAGACGGGGTTTCACCATGTTGGTCAGACTGGTCTGGAACTCCTGACCTCGTGATCCACCCGCCTTGGCCTCCCAAAGTGCTGGAATTACAGGCGTGAGCCACTGCGCCCAGCCTTCTTACATTTTTGGATGATAACACCAATATATGTTAGCTTTAAAAAAAAAAAGAAGTTAAATAACTTTGAAGGGGAACATTCAGATTTGAAGGGGAACTTTGAAGTGGAACATTCAGATTCAGAGTCAGTATTTTGTCCTATATGATACTTTAAAAAAAATTGTTAGATTTGGTGCCAACATTAGAAAACTAAAAATTTTTTTTATTTGAGATGGAGTCTCGCACTGTCTCCCAGGCTGGAGTGCGGTGACGCCTTCTCTGCTCTGCTCACTGCAAGCTCCGCTTCCCAGGTTCATGCCATTCTCCTGCCTCAGCCTCCCGAGTAGCTGGGACTACAGGCGGCCGCCACCACGCACGGCTAAGTTTTTGTATTTTTGGTAGAGACAGGGCTTCACCACGTTAGCCAGGATGGTCTCAATCTCCTGACCTCGTGTTCTGCCTGCCTTGGCCTCCTAAAGTGCTGGGATTACAGGCGTGAACCACTGCACCTGGCCGAAAACTAAAATTTTTTTTACATGAAAAAAATTTTTCATGTAAGCACAAGGCCTGTATTCCCTCATGTTTGTAATGACAAGGAGCTGAGTAGTGGTTGTGCCCTTTAGACCTGGTATGGTCACTCCAGACTGCCACTGTCTCCACTAGCTAGCTGGCTTCCTTCATTGTGTTATCTGCCAGGCATTTGAATTTGGGTTGCTCAGAATAAGGTAAAAGGCAAAGGTGTCCTCCAGTATCCCAGTGCTGTTAACACTGTTGTATAATCTAGACCTTTCACAGTGCTCGGTCAGATATTTGAGAAGTTCACTGATATGTCCACATGTGTATTTCTTTTCACTTATAAAATTCCTGTAGGCTTTTATTTATTTATTTATTGTTATTTTTTATTTTCGAGACAGTTTCACTCTTGTTGCCCAGGCTGGAGTGCAGTGGCGTGATCTCAGTTCATTGCAACCGCTGCCTCCCAGGTTCAACTGATTCTCTTGCCTCAGCCTCCCGAGTAGTTGGAATTACAGGCATCTGCCACCATGCCTGACTAATTTTTGTATTTTTTAGTAGAGACGGGGTTTTGCCGTGTTGGCCAGGCTGCTCTCGAACTCCTGACCTCAGGTAATCCACCCACTTCGGCCTCCCAAAGTTTCGGGATTACAGGCGTGAGCCACCGTGCCCGGCCTATTTTTTATCTTTTTTTTTTTTTGAGATAGGGTGTCACTTTGTTGCCAAGGCTGGAGTACAGCGGTGTGATCACGGCTCACTGCAGACTCAACCTCCTGGCTCAAGCGATCTATTCACCTCAGAGTACCTGCGACTACAGGCGTGCACCACTATGCCTGGCTAATCTTTTTTTTGTAGAAACTATGTTGCCCAGGCTGGTCTCGAACTCCTGAGCTCAGGCAGTCCTGCCTTGGCCACCCAGAGTATTGGAATTATAGGCGTAAGCCACTGTGCTTGGCCTCATAGCTTTTAAATTGAGACTAGAAGCCAGACCTTCCAATCTTTCCTGTTGTTGTTCCTGTCCTTATTGTACACATTTCACTTTTTCTCTTCTAGTCCCTGTGTGAGGGAATGCGGATTCTGGGTTGTGTAAAAGAGGTAAATGAACTGGAACTGGTGATTAGTCTCCCCAACGGCCTCCAGGGGTTTGTGCAAGTCACTGAAATCTGTGATGCCTACACCAAAAAGCTGAATGAGCAGGTGACACAAGAACAACCTCTGACGGTAAGGGAAATCCGAATGAAGCCTGTTATTGAAAATAAGTGGAACACAAATAGATTTAAAATTACAACTTTGCCAGGTGCTAAGAAGGGAAGGTACAAGGTCCCATGAGAGTTTATTATAAAGGAATTTTTGACTAAGTTGTTGAGGAAGGGATGCTTAAGCTGAGATCTAAAGAATGAGGGTTCCCTAGATAAAGAAGGAATGGCGCTCAGGCAGAAGCAATGTGATATATAATAGAGAGAAGGCTAGTATGTCTAGGTAAGGAGAACAAGAGAGAGTGTGATGTGAGATGGGCAGGAGATCCTGAATGGGGGCCAGGGCATATGCAGCCTTGCAGACCATTTTAAGTATTGTTTTTAAATTCTAGAATCAATGGGAAGTCCTTGAAATGTTCTCACTGGGGTCGGTGAAATGTAGCATAGCGTGTAGATTGAAGAGGCATGAGAAGTTCCTTAGAGACAAGTTAGGAGGCTCTTGTAGTCGTTCATGTCCTGAGATTGATGGTGACCTGGGTTCAGGATTTCCTGAGGACTGAGGAGGCAAAGTCATTGCTTGGTGATAGATTCAGTATGGGTGGTGGGGCAGATAGAGGTGTCAGGACTGAGTTCTAGGTTTCTGTGGTGCATGAGTTGATACTTGGTCATGACATCCTGAGATAGGAAACCCTGAAGAGGACCTGGATTGGCAGAGATGATCTTGATTTTTCAGTTTTTGAGACAGAGTCTCACTCTGTTGCCCAGGCTGGAGTGCAGTGGTATGATCTCAGCTCACTGAAACTTCCGTCTCCTGGGTTCAAGCGATTCTCCTGCCTCAGCCTTCCCAGTAGCTGGGATTGCAGGAGCCTGCCACTGCACCCAGCTAATTTTTGTATTTCAGTAGAGACAGGGTTTCACCATGTTGGCCAGGCTGGTCTCGAACTCCTGACCTCAAATGATCCACCCGCCTTGGCCTCCCAGAGTGTTGGGATTATAGGTGTGAGCCACCATGCCTGACCTATAATTTTTTTTTTTTTTTTTTTTTGAGATGGAGTTTCACTCTTTCGCCCAGGCTGGAGTGCAGTGGCATGATCTCAGCTCACTGCAGCCTCCAACTCCCAGGTTCAAGCAGTTCTCCTGCCTCAGCCTCCTGAGTAGCTGGGATTTCAGGCAAACATCACCACACCCAGCTAATTTTTGTATTTTTAGTAGAGATAGGGTTTTACCATGTTGGTCAGGCTGATCTCAAACTCCTGACCTCAGGTGATCTGCCCGCCTCGGCCTCCCAAAGTGCTGGGATTACAGGCATGAGCCACTGCGCCCGACCCTCAAGTGCTTTTTAATGGTCATGTAAGAGATAGACTGCAAAACTGACCACTGGATTTAGCAATATGGAACTCATTGGTGGTTCTATGGGGAGATAAAGTGGTGGAGTGAGAGGGGTGGAAAGCAGATGGCAGTGAGCCAAAGAGTGAGTAAGAGATGAAGTAGAGGCAGAAAGTGTAGACAACTCTTTTGACATGTCATTTTACATGCCAGTTATGTAGAAATATTTGAAGGCCTTATGCTGAAATTCAAGACTGTGGCTAGGCCACAGACCCAACTTCCTTTGTGGATGCGGGGGTTATTCCTCACCTACCTTTTGGGTTCTTTGGCGTCTGAGGATGAGAAGTCACTGAGCCAAGGCTGGGTAATGGAGTTTTGGTTCAGGAGAAGGGTGTGTATCAGGTCTTTCTCATTTGTGTTATGCAGGACCTACTTCACTTGCCTGAACTTTTCTCACCTGGAATGCTGGTAAGATGTGTGGTGAGCAGTCTGGGCATCACAGACAGGGGTAAGAAGAGTGTCAAGCTGTCTCTGAACCCCAAAAATGTCAACAGAGTGCTGAGTGCTGAGTCCCTGAAGCCTGGCATGGTAGGTATCTAGGGTCAGGGAGGAGGAGTGGGCAGTGTGCCTTCTCCCTGCCTCCTAGGGAGCATGGTCTAGGCCACCTTTTACTCTCAGCTTAACTGTTACACGTAGGAGTGGGTCTTTTTCTGGAAGGAAGGTCTCTTGGGTTCTTTGGATACGTAATGGACATTGAAGACTTGAACCTAATCATTACATTGGAGAAGAGAAAAGAGAAATCAAGTCCAAATTTCTTTTGTTTTGAGTCAGAGTTTCGCTGTTGTTGCCCAGGCTGGAGAGCAAGGGTGTGATCTTGGCTCACCACAACCTCCACCTCCCGGGTTCAAGCGATTCTCCTGCCTCAGCCTCCTGAGTAGCTGGGATTACAGGCATGCGTCACCATGCCCAGGTAATTTTATATTTTTAGTAGAGACTGAGTTTCTCCGTGTTGGTCAGGCTGGTGTCGAACTCCCAACTTCGGTCTCCCAAAGTGCTGGAATTACAGGTGTGAGCCACCGTGCCTGGCTAAGCAAGTCCAAATTTCACTGGTGGCAAAGAAAAATGCCTCCTGGAAGCCTTAGCAGGGGACTTAGTGATGGTGAGGAGTTCCTCATAGTGCCTTACTTACTGAAACTTCCTTGCACATTCGGTCTTTTACAAAGGCTTCTGGCATTTGTACAGAATGCTTGAAAGTTGCTGTCTGAGAGCAGGTGACGGGGTAGTCAGCGAAGTTAGTCTATCAGCTGTATTAGTGGATATCTCACTACTTTATGTTCAGTCCTGTGGAGATTCAGGAGATGTTAGTCCTGGCTCAGAGCCTTCAAGTGTAGTAGGTACAAAAGGGTAAACTTACACTCATATGGATAATGTAAGTACTCTTGTAATTAATAGGACAGAGATCAATATGATCTTTGCAATGTTGGTTAGATGCAGTAGGATTTAGAAAAGGCCTAGAAAGTTTGGTAGGATTTAGTTGGATAAAAAGGGAATAAAAGTAAGTTAAGTTGCAGGAAATTGACAAGTGTCAAGAGCCTACCATATGACAGGTGACGTTTTGGGCACTTTGATGAAATTCTCACAGCAACCCTGTGAGGCAGGTAGATACTATGCCTTATACATTTGGAAAAATGGACTCAGAAAGGTTTAAGTAACTTACCAAAGACCAAATAGCTAGTAAGTTTCAGAGCCACACTGCTTCCCTTGTAATATAAAGGAGATTGGCATTTTTTTTTTCTTTTTTGAGATGGAGTCTTGCTTTGTTGCCCAGGCTGGAGTGCAATGGTGTGATCCTGGCTCACTGCAACCTCCACCTCCTGGGTTCAAGCAGTTCTCCTGCCTCAGCCTCTTCAGTAGCTGGGATTACAGGCGCGTACCACCACACCCAACTAATTTTTTTTATTTTTAGGAGAGACGGGGTTTCACCATGTTGTCCAGGTTGGTTTTGAACTCCTCACCTCAGGTGATCACCTGCCTCGGCCTCCCAAAGTGCTGGGATTACCGGCATGAGCCACCACGCCCTGCCAGCAGTATTTTTTTAATGTGTTGGAGGTGCTCAGAAGAGACATACTATGACAGTTAGAAGGGTAGTACTGGATTCTCTCAGTAGTCCTGGTTCTGGGAGCGCCCTTGCAGGGTCGAGCAGTTCATCTCTCTTTGCATAACGTAAAAGTCTGCTATCTTTTTTTATGAAGGACAGTCTCACTGTGTTGCCCAGGCTGGAGTGCAGTGGCATGATCTCTTCTCACTGCAACCTCCGTCTCCTGGGTTTAAGCAATTCTTCTGCCTCAGCCTCCTGAGGCAGGGATTACAGGTGCCATGCCTGGCTAATGTTTGTATTTTTAATAGAGACGGGATTTCACCATGTTGGCCAGGCTGGTCTCAAACTCCTGACCTCAAGTGACCTGTCTGCCTCGGCCTTCCAAAATGCTGGGATTACAGGCGTGAGCCACCGTGCCCAGCCGAAAGTCTGCTATCTTTTGAAAGCACTCGAGGCAAGAGATTCTTCTATATTGTTCCATCATTCAGCTGTGTTAAACATTTCTCATTGCCTGGCAACCGTCAGATCCTTCAAGCCTGGGAGTATTGAATTTGATGTCTGCTGTCTAGTGGGATTGTGGCTTAAAGTTAAACGTGGGGGTGGGATAGTGGCAGAGTGGGAGCTTAGTGGCAGGAACATTCAAGTTTGAACGTTTGTTGTGTGTCCCATTACCTTTGAATTGGAACTTTGGGGACTACTTTCTCTTCCCCAGCTACTTACAGGTACTGTATCCAGCCTGGAAGACCATGGCTACCTAGTGGACATTGGTGTTGATGGGACCAGAGCTTTTCTGCCACTGCTGAAAGCCCAGGAGTACATCAGACAGAAGAACAAAGGTGAGGGCAAGAAAAGGGGCCAGTACCTGGTGGTGAGGTGGTACATGTGGGGATTATATTTAAGTGCCATTTTGATGAGTAACGTGACAGAATGGTGACCCTGAAGGTGCTGTGGCTTTGGTTAAACCAGCACTTAATCCTAGTTAATAGGAAAGGAAAGATGTATGAAGGGCCAGCGAGTGGCAGGGTCTCACTAAGATCTGATGGAACAGTGTCAGTTTTTCTCACCTGGAAGATTCCACTGCAATTTGGGCCTCCATGGCTTCTGAACCAGCAATCTCCTGGCTTGTTGAGATGTTCATATTTTTGTATGGTAATTGAATTCCAGATCAATTAGGATAACTTCATTTCCTTCTTGTAGTTGGCGCCTTAGAGATTGGGAATGTGGGGAGTAATCGATGCTAATTGGGCAGGTAGGCCATGGGTCTCTTCAGGTATTACTTGGGCCCATGTTAAAAGTCCTTCTCATAGAGACATTTTTCCTTTTGGGGTCTGGATCTGGGCTTTCAGGTGCTAAACTAAAGGTGGGTCAGTACCTGAACTGCGTCGTTGAAAAGGTGAAAGGCAACGGAGGAGTTGTTAGTCTGTCTGTTGGTCACTCAGAGGTTTCTACTGCCATTGCTACTGAAGAGCAGAGCTGGACCCTTAATAACTTACTACCAGGACTGGTGGTCAAAGCTCAGGTGCAGAAGGTAAGCTGTTCATTGCTACTACTACTTTTTAAAACAAAAATAATTCTTTTAAAAATATTACATGCATATGGGCTAAAACTACTGTCTAATAAGGGTAGTCACTAGTCACTTATGCCCATTGAGCACTTCAGATGTGGCCAGTGCCACATGTTGAAATGATAATATGTTGGATATATTAGGTTAAAAAAACTATACTAAAATGTCTTTTGTTTCTTTGTAGTTTCTAAAATGTGATTGCCAGAAAACTTAAAATTACATGTGTGGCTAGCATTGTATTTCTGTGGATGGTGCTGATCTAAAGGGTCAAATGGAATTAAAAGGTTTATAATGAAGAACTTATCCGTCATAACCCCCATCTTTAACTCTTTTAGCTTATGTTTTGAAATTTCTCTCCATATTTTTGAGTAATAAGCTTCTGCTAGTATCTCTTGAGTTTTCAATCTTAGGCATTGAGTTTTAACTTTTTTTCAAGCTAGAAAACATTTAGGTCTCTCTTTTTTTCATTAAAATATATATATATTTTGTAGAGATGAAGTCTTACTATGTTGCCCAGGCTGGTGTTGAACTCCTGAGCTCAAGCGATCCTCCCACCCTGGCCTCCCAAAGTGCTTGGATTACAGGCGTGAGTGACCTCGCCCAGCATACTAGCATGACTTTCCTTTTTTTTTTTTTTTTTTGAGACAGAGTCTCGCCCTGTTGCTCAGGCTGGCATGCAGTGGCACGATCTTAGGTCACTGCAGCCTCTGCCTCCCAGGTTCAAGTGATACCCCTGCCTGAACCTCCCAAGAAGCTGGGACTATAGGCATGCACTACCACACCTGGCTGATTTTTGTATTTTTAGTAGAGACAGGGTTTCACCATGTTGGCTAGGTTGGTGTCAAACTCCTGACCTCAAGTGATCCACCTGTCTGGGCCTCCCCAAATGCTGTGATTACAGGCGTGAGCCACCACACCTGGCCTACTATGACCTTCTTGAATAGCTTTTTTTCTCTTGGAGGTGGCAGTCAGCTTTGTTTTTGTCATTTGCGAAATTCTTTTCCTATCAGTATTTTTTCCTATACCCTCAACTTATTTTCATCTCGCTACAATTCTGCATGCTTTCAAATCCTTTAAGTAAACTACTGGTTTCTTTTTCTTCCCACCTAGAACCCTTTTTGATGTCCTCCTGCTCTAGGATGGACTAGTTGCTCTGTAGGGCTCCTGCATAGCTGGTTTCCTAGGACTTCCCTTCTGCTCTCTCCTCTATCTCTATTGGAGCCTTCTTTGGTCCCATGTGTTCTTCTTTTTCGGTTTACTTCCTCGTTTTAGTGTGGCACATCCAGAAGCATCCTGGGAGAGCCTCTCAACTTTAACTTCCAATTGTCTAGGAAGTTTTTGTTTAGATTGCTGTATTATGAGTGAGGTGCTAAAAAACTGAGCAAGTCTGTGTGTGAGATTGTTGACTGTTTTTTAAATTTTTATAATTTTTATAATTATTATTTTTTTTGAGACAGAGTCTTGCTCTGTCACCCGGGCTGGAGTGCGGTGGCATGATCTCAGCTCATTGCAACCTCCACCATCCAGGTTCAAGTGATTCTCCTGCGTTAGCCTCCCGAGTAGCTGGGACTACAGGCATCCACCACCACGCCCAGCTAATTTTTGTATTTTTATAGAGACAGGGTTTCACTGTGTTGGCCAGGCTGATCTCAAACTCCTGAGCTCAGGTGATCCAGCTGCCTCAGCCTCCCAGAGTGCTAGGATTGTAGGCATGAGCCACCGCGCCCAGCTTCTTGGTGACTATTTAACTTTCCTGTCAGGAACAGGACTAGCAGATTTAATTTGGACAACCTCCTACTGTGATTGTTATAGGTCTTCTCTGGCATGTCAGATTTCTCTAGAAAGGATCTGACAATCTCCACCCAAGAGGGTCTAAGCCTGGCTGCCTGAGAATGAGTACGAGAAAGGGGCTGGATATTTACATGATATTTAGAATTTAATTGACATTTTCAGAATTTGCACTTTTCCTGTTTTTTGATTCTGGTAACAGTTTTCCTAGAGAATAGGTTTCATATTTTGTGGGGAGGTAAGAGAGAGGACTTAGTTCTCTGATTTCATTCATCTCCCTCATCACTATCTTTTGAGGGGATTGTCACTTTAGCTTTTTGTTGACTCTGTAGGGTGACTTGGCTTGCTTGTGGTCAGTATCTCCCTTTTGCAAGCCTTTGAGTTTTACCTTCCTATACTGGGCAAGTATGTAAGTAACAATCAATTCCAGTTGTCAGGCTGGCAGTTCCCCAAGGATACATGTACAAAGCTCCTTCCACTCCATGGAGGACTCCCAGAGAGTGGGAGGACTGATGTCCTCTCTTAGCTGGAAGGGAGGTGAGCCTACTAAGAAGGAAACAGCCAGTGCAGGAATTGTTCTGCCGGTTAGTTTTATAGGAAGAAAAGATTGATAAGAGTTAGCTGGGGGAGGAGAGATACACAGTTAGGGATAATGTGGCATTGAGTGTTTACTGTGAGCAGTGTCTTACATTCGTGGTTCTTTCAAAGAACTTTTTTTCATAACTTGTTCTGTTTATTTCTAGGTGACCCCATTTGGCCTTACACTAAACTTCCTCACATTCTTCACGGGCGTGGTTGATTTTATGCACCTGGATCCCAAGAAAGCTGGAACATATTTCTCAAATCAGGCAGTAAGAAATGTTGAACCTGTATTTTCTTGATTCCAACTGTGGTCCATTTGCTGTCCAGTATCACAGCTAGCTACAGGGAGGACCTAGGACTGCATGCATGCAGGTGTGCAGAGAGGAGACGAGAGGAATAATGAAAAGTGTTATGGAGGCCAGACGCGGTGGCTCATATGCTTGTAATCCCAACACTTTGGGAGGCGAGGTGGGCAGATCACTTAAGATTAAGAGTTCAAGACCAGCCTGGCCAACATGGTAAAACCCTGTCTCTACTAAAAATACAAAAATTAGCCGGATGTGGTGGTGTATACCTGTAGTTTCAGCTACTCAGGAACGTGAGGCAGGAGAATCGCTTGAACCCGGGAGGCCGAGGTTGCAGTGAGCTGAGATCGTGCCACTCTATCCAGCCTGGGTGACAGAGTGAGACTCCGTTTCAAAAAAAAAAAAAAAGTTATGGAAAGAAAGTAAGAAGCTCCCAGGGGCCGAACTGAAATTAGAGAAGGAGCAGGTGGAAAAGGAGGCAACTTTTAGTTTTTACTTCATAGTCTTCCATGTAGTTGGTTTTTTTTTTTCCTTTGGTATTACAATTTTTTGTTTTTCTAATTTAAAGTTGTTTAGAAGAATATTTAACATAGGAGAATAAGATACGTTTAAACAGCAAGAGGTGATTTTAAAAGTTCTATGAGTAGTATAGATCCAATTTTGAAAAAATATTTTAAAAAGTACCTCTGGTTAAAATACTGGAAGATTATGCAATCAGGTGTTAATAGTGATGAACTCTGGGTGATTTTTCTGTTCTGTTCTTTTCTTTCGTTTCTTTTCTTTTTTTTTTAGACAGGGTCTCACTCTGTCACCCAGGCTGGAGTGCAGTAGCGCAAACATGGCTCACTGCAGCTTCAGTCTCCTGGGCTCAATTGATCCTGCCATCTCAGTCCTCAGAGTAGTTGGGACCACAGATGCGTGCCACGATGCCTGGCTAATTAAAAAAAAATTCGTAGGCCAGGCATGGTGGCTCACGCCTATAATCCCAGCACTTTGGTAGGCCAAGGTGGGACAATCACAAGGTCAGGAGTTCAAAACCAGCCTGGCCAGCATGGTGAAACTCTGTCTGTACTAAAAATAATAAAAAAAAAATTAGCCAGACTTGGTGGTGTGTACCTGTAGTCCCAGCTACTCAGGAGACTGAGGCAGGAGAATTGCTTGAACCCGGGAGGCAGAGGTTGCAGTGAGCCGAGATTGCGTCACTGCACTCCGGCCTGGGCAACAGAGCAAGAGTCTGTCTCAAAAAAAAAAAAAATTGTAGAGGCAAGGTCTCGCCATGTTGCCCAGGATGGTTTTGAACTCCTGGGCTCAAGGAGTCCCCCATCTTTGCCTCCCGAAGTGCTGGGATTACAGGTATGAGTCACAACACCTGGCTCCGCTTGTATTTAAATATTCAAGTTTTCTACAATGAACATGGATATTTAGGAAGAAAATCCTAATATATGTTATTCAGAATTTTTTAGAATTCTAAAATGATTTCTTTTTTTAAATAGTAATGTATACTATAGAGAATTTATTTATTTATTTATTTTTCGAGACAAAGTCATACACTATTGCCCAGAGTGTAGTACAATGGCACGATCACAGTTAATTGCAACCTCAACCTCCCGGGTTCTGGCAATCCTCCCACCTCAGCCTCCTGAGTAGCTGGGACTACAGATGCATGCCACCACGGCCAGCTAATTTTTTCTGTTTTTTGTAGAGATGGGGTCTCGCTGTGTTGCCCAGGCTGGTCTTAAACACCTGGGCTCAAATGATCCTCCTGCCTAGGCCTCCTACAGTGCTGGGATTATAGGCTTGAGCTACTGCAACTAGCTGAGAATTTTTTTTTTTTAAAGTGAAACTAGGGTTTTATACTACCTAGTGATAATACTGTTAATATTTTCCTAAACCTCTTTTTAGTAATTTTTTTCTCCCTTTAATCATTCGTGTGTGGAATTGAGACATTTTACATGTTTTAATGTCATGAAGAGATCAGGCTTTTTCTCTTAGTTTCAGAGGAGCCTTGGATGTAGTGACACTAGTACATGGTTTCTGTTGTATTACAGATATATTAGCTCCTTGGTGTTGAGGGGACTTGAGTAAACTTTCCTGCTAATTTTTGTGTATTTATTTTATTATTATTTTTTGAGACAGGGTCTCACTCTGTCACCCAGGCTGGAGTGCAGTGGTGTGATCATCACTCACTGCAGCCTTGACCTCCTGGGCTCACTCAGGTGATTCTCCTGCTTCAGCCTCCCAAATAGTGCACGCCACCGTGCTTGACTAATTTTTTTTTTTTCTTTTTTTTTTGAGACTAAGTCTCACTTCGTCACCCAGGCTGGAGTGCAGTGGCACAGTCTTGGCTCACTGCAACGTCTGCCTCCCATTTCAAGTGATTCTTGTGCCTCAGCCTCCTGAGTAGCTGGAAGTACAAGTACGTGCCACCATGCCCGGCTATTTTTTTTTTTTTTTGGAGACAGAGTCTTGCTCTGTCGCCCAGGCTGGAGTGCAGTGGCGCTATCTCAGCTTACTGCAGCCTCCGCCTCCTGGGTTCAAGCGATTCTCCTGCTTCAGCCTTTTGAGTAGCTGGGATTACAGGCGCCTGCCACCACACCCAGCTCACTGCTGGGTTTTTTTTTGTATTTTTAGTAGAGACGGGGTTTCACTGTGTTAGCCAGGATGGCCTTGATCTCCTGACCTCGTGATCCGCCTGCGTCGGCCTCCCAAAGAGCTGAGATTACAGGCATGAGCCACCGCTTCCAGCCTAACTTTCTGTTTTTTAAATCTAGAGATGAGGTTTCGCCATGTTGGCTGGGCTATCTCAAACTCCTGATCTCAAGTGATCTGCCCACCTCAGACTCCCAAAATGCTGGGATTACAGGCGTGAGCCATGATCCCCGGCCAAATTTTTGTATTTTTTGTTGAGATAGGGTTTCACTATGTGCGCAGGCTGGTCTCTGACTCCTGAGCTCAAGTGATCCACCTGTCTCGGTATCCCAAAGTGCTGGGATTATCAGTGTGAGCCACTATAACTGGCTTGAGTAAGTTTTGATTTAGTCAGACATGGTCCCTATGGGACATTTTGACTTTGTTGCATGCTGCTTCAGTATGGAAGCCAGTTTGAGTACTTACCTACTAAGGATGTGAGTACTCACATACCTGGTTAGCATGTGGAGAGGCTTGATGCCTGGAAGGTCTGCTCTAGGGTGCTCCTGTGTGCCTCCTCCTGCTCACCCTGCCTTTCCTTTTGTCTAGGTGAGGGCTTGCATCCTCTGCGTCCATCCTCGAACCAGAGTTGTGCGCCTGAGCCTGCGCCCCATCTTCCTACAGCCTGGACGCCCACTCACCCGACTCTCTTGCCAGAACCTTGGAACGGTGCTGGATGATGTTCCTGTCCAGGGCTTTTTCAAAAAGGCTGGGGCCACCTTCAGGCTGAAGGATGGGGTTCTGGCGTATGCCCGGGTAAGGAGGCCTCTTTGTTTGGTCAGGGATCTTATCACTGGAAGGACTTTTGGAGCACAGGGGGCCGTTTCTGCTTCTTTCATCCCTTGATGCTAGTTTAGAATTTCTGGATATTGCAGTTCTAATTCCTGTTCATAGTGATTAGAACAATGTCTGTTGACTGTGTTAGGATGCCTTAGAACCAGCTTGCCATATCTGATACTTGGTTAATGGTTAAGTGTAAGGATGAGTTAAGATCCAGACCAGGGCCCAGCAGAGTTTTTCTTAAAGGGCTAGGTCATAAATACTTTAGGCTGTGAGCCCTGTGGTGGTCTCTGTCCTAATTGTTCAATGCTGTTGTTATGGCTTGAAAGCAGCCATAGACAGTACGTAAATGAACGGATGGCTGTATTCCAATACAACTTCTATTTACTAAAACAGGCACTAGGCACAGTTGACTGATCTATGTTCTGGACTTTCTCTGACCTTCCTGAAATTCTGTGATGATAAAGAGCAGTTTTTCAGTGTGAAGAATTACTTAACCCGGCAATCAAAGTACTGTTTTTGTGGTACATGATCAGTGTTGAGTCCTCTCTATGGGCTGTAAGGTCTCATTGGCTCAGACCTATTGTCTCTGGCTTGTCCTCAATCACTTGGTACTTTGCAGCTCAGCCATCTCTCTGATTCTAAGAATGTCTTCAATCCTGAGGCCTTCAAGCCAGGGAACACTCACAAGTGTAGAATTATTGACTACAGCCAAATGGATGAACTGGCCTTGCTCTCTCTACGAACGTAAGTCTGTCATTAACAGGTAGGGGTGTAGAGATGTGCGCCTGTACATGTTCATATTCCGTTTCTCCTGGCTGTGCTTGGGGAGGGTTTTCTTTCTTGCCAGCGTGACTGTGGTAGCCCTGAATTTTAGGCAACCTCTGCCCCAGTTTATTTAATTTTGTGTTTTCTCTTTGTCCTAGATCTATTATTGAAGCTCAGTACCTTAGATATCATGACATCGAACCTGGGGCAGTGGTAAAGGTAAGACCTCAAGCATATAATTAGGTACTCCCTCAGTTTCAGGCGTTCCTTAGTTCACATACAGGTGACTGTCAGCTCGTTAGTCCTCATGTTAACACACTGAATGTCATTTTCCTTACCTTTGCCTGCTGACTAGAATTTCTTTCTTTTTCTTTGGGTAACTCGTAATTAATTTCAAGGTAAGATCTTACTAGCACCACCCAGCTACACAATGGCAGTAGATCATAAATCCTGAGATTTGGGATTTGATGGTAGTTAGTAGACCAGATCAAAAGTTAGTCCTGTGATTATTGAGCTTCCTGGAATATTAGTGAGAAGCCAGTTCCAGATACCTGTCCTCTCCAACCATTTGGTTCTAATCGAGCAGCTCCCTTTATATGTAGAGTTTATTCCTCAGGACACCTTGACATAGTCCCTTTCTTTGGGGAATGTATTTTAAGGCACACAGAAAGCACATGCTCACACAGAAAGATGTGAAGGCTCCCACAAATAAAGCTGATGAAATAATCCAGCTCAGGTTGGGGTGTGTGCTTCACCTATATGCCATCTGGAATAACAGGCACAGTTAGCCCAGGAAGGTGGCTGTGAAGGGGAGGTGTGACATGCCTTGTAAGAGGTGGGGGAAAGGCCATTCTTGAGACATTGAGGCAGCTTATCTTTGGACTCTCTAGGGCATAGTGCTAACCATAAAGTCATATGGGATGCTGGTGAAGGTGGGCGAGCAGATGAGGGGCCTGGTACCTCCCATGCACCTGGCTGACATCCTGATGAAGAATCCAGAGAAGAAGTACCACATTGGGGATGAGGTCAAGTGCCGGGTAAGCCTCCTGAAGGGTCTCTTGGAATTTTGGCTAGATGGGAAGAGAGCAGTTCTCAACTGAAGTTTCTGCCTTTTTCCACAAAGTGAGTGTGTAATGTCTGTAGTGTGTCTAGTACTGTACCTGGCATTGGGAAGAGAAAAGTGAGTCCCTGTTTTGTGTAGTATAATTGGGAGTTAAAATATTCATACATGAAGAGAGAGCAAGCCAGCCTGTGATCTTTTTTTTTGAGACGGAGTCTCGCTCTGTCGCCCAGGCTGGAGTGCAGTGGCCGGATCTCAGCTCACTGCAAGCTCCGCCTCCCGGGTTCACGCCATTCTCCTGCCTCAGCCTCCCGAGTAGCTGAGACTATAGGCGCCCGCCACCTCGCCCGGCTAGTTTTTTGTATTTTTTAGTAGAGACGGGGTTTCACCCTGTTAGCCAGGATGGTCTCGATCTCCTAACCTTGTGATCCGCCCGTCTCGGCCTCCCAAAGTGCTGGGATTACAGGCTTGAGCCACCGCGCCCGGCCAGCCTGTGATCTTTTGCCATGTGGCTTGGTGCAGGTGGTGTGCTGTGGTCACACCTGAGAAAGGGGAGGCGAGGGTGGGCTGGAGCAGCCAGAATTGTTGACGTTATCAATAGCAACTGCCACTAACAGGTATTCTGTGCCAGTTTCTATGCTAGGCATGTGACAGGCATTATTTCATTTAATCCTTGAAACGACCCTAACAATTAAGTACTATTATTTTCATTTTGCAGGTGGGAAAATTAAAGCTTAGGAAAGCCAACTGTCTTGCCCAGAGTCACACAGCTAATAAACGGCAGAACCAGTTTTTGAATGTCAGCTCTGTATGACAATAACGTTTTCTAGATTTCTGGCAGAGGTAGCACTTGAACTAGAAAGGATAGGTAGGATTTGGGAGATTGGGGAGAGCAAAGGTTGTGTTCTAGGCACAGAAATAGCCCTAGCAAAGCTGCGAAAACATGGGTGAGTTACGACAAAGGCTCGAATCCCACGGAAAGCCTCATAGAGTTGTGAAGCTTCAGTATGATGATGCACACGGAGTGCTCCATGAGCAGGCACTTAGCATGTCAGATTTTCCTGTATTCATTTTATTTCATCATTATTGACTCAGCGGAGGTAATGATTGCCCATTGGTGCAAAATTTTACAGTAGTGGGATCAAGAGTTAAACAGAGTTTTTCTGTCTTTAAGGAGATGACCTTCTGAGGGGGTGAAAGACAGTTGCATCTCCATCTTATTTGATAGCTAATAAACAGCAGTACTAAGGTGGTAAATTGGTTCATCATTGGTTCTGTTAGACTAGATGCAAAGCCCACTAGGAAGGAGCCAAGATGGTGTAGAAGTCAGTGTAACCAAGACTCCACAGAGGTGCCGGGAATGTTGCTTCGTGGTCAGGAGAGGGTAGTGTGCAGCAATTTATGGGAGCAATTACATTTGAAATAGTGATTTGTATGCTGCAGATTGTCATATAGCAGGAAGCAAGAAGAATCTGCCACTGAGTTGATTAGAGGAAAAGCTATAGCAGGTTCTTGGGGAATGGCCCCATGGCTTTTGGGTTTAAGAGGTTGCAGAGACCAGCTCAGTGGCTCTCATGGTAACAGATAACTTGACAGCCTATGTCCCTCCCCTAGGTTTTGCTTTGTGACCCTGAAGCCAAGAAGCTGATGATGACCCTGAAGAAAACCCTGGTTGAGTCCAAACTACCTGTCATTACCTGCTATGCCGATGCCAAGCCTGGTCTGCAGACACATGGCTTCATCATCAGGGTCAAGGACTATGGCTGCATTGTGAAGTTCTACAACAATGTGCAGGGACTGGTGCCCAAGCATGAGCTCAGTACCGAGTATATCCCTGACCCGGAGAGAGTTTTTTACACTGGCCAGGTAACCCTTCCCCTAGACAGGTCCCCTCTACCCTTGGTGACCCCACAAACACAAATATGAAGGAGCAGTAAGTAGTAGGGCTGCCTTTAAGAGTAGTAGGGCTGCCTTTAAGAGGCTGAGGAAGAGAGCACATGGGGCAGTGGGTATGAGCCGGCTAAATGGAGGAGACGGGGAACAGAACAGGGAGAAAGCCTTGGCGAGTTCAGCAGAAGCTGACAAGCTGATGGGTCTCAGGCACGCATGGAAGAGGTCAGTCTTTACCTGTAATAAACCTGTGCCTCTCGTATCAGAAATTGTTGTGAGGTCACTGTCACCACACGGGGGCAGTGCTGTAAAACTAGTGAGTCTTGGTATCACTAGGAAAAACACTTTTTTATTCCTTTAAATGACTTTAAATGGATAGATAATAATTGTACATATTTATGGGGTACAATGTGTTATTTCTTTTTTTCTCTTTTCTTTTTTATTTTTTTCAAGACAGAGTTTCCCTCTGTCACCCAGGCTGGAGTGCAATGGCGTGATCTCAGCTCACTGCAGCCTCCACCTCCCAGGCTCAAGCGATTCTTGAGCTTCAGCCTCCCAAGTAGCTGGGACTACAGGCATGTGCCGGCACACCCAGCTAATTTTTGTAGTTTTAGTAGAGATGGGATTTCGCCGTTTTGGCCAGGCTGGTCTCGAACTCCTGGCTTCAAGCAATCAGCCCACCTTGGCCTTTCAAAGTGCTGGAATTACAGGCCTGAGCCACTAAACCTGGCCACCATGTGATATTTCAATACATGCTTATAATATGTAATGATCAAACCAGGGTAATTATCATCTCCATCACCTCAGAGAGAAAAATAATTTTTAAGACTTGGATGGTACAAAAAAAGTTATTTATGTCTTCTGTTTATCCCAAAGCCTGCCCTGGGAGATTGTGTAGTTCTCAGTGCATTTCTTCTTTTCACCACCTTCTGATCTGATCCAAAGGCTTGGTAGATCTCTCAAGGCCTCTGCAGCACTAGTGGAGGGCATGCTGCAGGGCCTGCAAGGCCTGCTGGGAGGAGTTGGCCAAGCCTGTGTGGTTTCTTGCCAGGTGGTAAAGGTTGCCGTGTTGAACTGTGAGCCATCCAAGGAGAGGATGCTCTTATCCTTCAAGCTGTCAAGTGATCCAGAGCCAAAGAAAGAGCCTGCAGGACACAGTCAGAAGAAAGGAAAAGCCATTAACATTGGGCAGGTACCTGGACTTTTCTGGACAAGCTTTTTTTATGTTACAGTGGCCTGTAAGACACAGTCAGAAGAAAGGAAAAGCCATTAACATTGGGCAGGTACCTGGACTTTTCTGGACAAGCTATTTTATGTTACAGTGGCAGAGAGCAGGGCACCACTAACACATGGTGTATTGGAACCCATGAAGCAGAAAGATAGAGGTAGCTCGATAAGATTTTGGGGCTAGAGGGGTTCTTGAGAGAGGACGTCATATGCATTCCTTCCTGTGTGTCAGAACAAATGGAAGCTGTCCACGAAAGTCCTGTTACAGTGAGGCTTTTCAGCAGTGGGCTGCTGACCTCTTTCCTCTTGGGTCCCTAGGGCCAACCTGCAGTTCTGGCTTTCCTGGGGCTCTGTGGAGGGACTTGAGAGAGGAGTGTGATGGGTCCACACATGAGTCCTCGTGCATGTGCACGTGCATGCATGCTGGGTAGTTGGGGTGGTGAGTGGTGTTTGGAAGAAAGCTGCCTCTTAGAGATCCTTGGTGCCAGAGTTTGATGCCTCCAAGCCCTGTCTGATCCAGACCAGGTTGTTCTCTGCTCATGACAAGTGCTATTTTTGTCTTTCTCTTCCCTGGGTAGTTGGTAGATGTGAAGGTTTTAGAGAAGACCAAAGATGGGCTGGAGGTGGCTGTCCTGCCGCACAACATCCGTGCTTTCCTCCCCACATCTCATCTGTCGGACCACGTTGCCAACGGCCCATTGTTACATCATTGGCTCCAGGCAGGTGACATTCTTCACCGAGTCCTGTGTCTGAGCCAGAGCGAGGGGCATGTTGTATCCTTGACTGGTATCTGTGGAACAGAGGAAGGTGGGGGGCCATGGGCGCTTGGATGGGAAATTCTGGGGAAATTAGTTAGAAACCCCATGGGGAAAAGACAGCTATTTGACCTCAGAAATACCTCCACAAAACCAAACCAGTGACGAAGCCTGTGCTGTGGAAAGTAAGAGCAGGCCTGAGTAAGTGCTGCCAACAGATGCTGTTGGTCAGGGTGGAGTAGCCTGAAAGGTCATAGAGAGGGGGACTCTAGGGGGCTGGAGAAGGAGGCCCAGTGGGCTGCTTGGGAGCACATCTAGCTTTTTGGGGGCTTTCAGTGCTTGCCCCTTGGATTAGAACAATTAATACAGTGGCGTCTGTCCCCCTTTCCTCTTTTTTTTTCACTATGTGCCTTCTCCCCCCAGGGCTATAGGCTCAGGAATATTCCCTTTGGTCTTTGCATAGGTTCTTTGAAGGAGTTTCTGCTCACAGAATGTAAAGTTCATTCTCCTTGGAGTAAAAACGGGCAGAGGAGGGAAAATGAGTTCATCAGTGTGAAAAGGGAGTAGTAGAGGATTGTGTGATAGCTGATCCAGCTGTCAGACCAGAGGGATGAGCCATCCCTTTTTGGTATCCTCTAGTAATCTGCAGATTAGTGAATCGGGAATGGAATAAAACCGTGATTCTCAGCTGTAGTGTGCAGTTGGGCCATGCAGATGGCTGAGTCACACCAAAGTTTCTAATTCAGTAGGTCTGGGTGGTGCTTGAGAACTTGCATTTCTCCCAGGTTTCAGGCAATGTTGATGCTGCTGGTCTGCACACTTAGAGAATTGCTGTAGGAGCAGAGGTCAGCCTGCAGTTCTGTCTTTCTCTGTGGAGAAAGGAGATGGGAGAGATGGACATTTCATCTGCCCTTTCTGGAACATTCCTTGATGAAGTACCACTAGCTTCTTTGCAGGAAGCCGGCCTTGGTCTCCACAGTAGAAGGTGGCCAGGATCCCAAGAACTTCTCAGAAATTCATCCTGGAATGCTGCTCATTGGTTTTGTGAAGAGCATCAAGGACTATGGCGTGTTCATCCAGTTCCCCTCAGGTCTTAGCGGACTGGCCCCAAAAGCTGTAAGTTCAACTCCATGTACAAGGGCTTTGAGGAGAAATACAAGGTCACAGAACCTGAGGGCAGGTGGGGAGGAATATTCTTTTTTTTACTTTTTGTATTTCATTCTTCTTCTTATTATTTATTTATTATTTTTTTGAGACAGCGTCGTTCTGTCTCCCAGGCTGGATTGCAGTGGTGTGATCTCTGCTCACTGTAACCTCCGCCTCCTGGGTTCAAGCGATTTTCCTGCATCAGCCTTCCAAGTAGCTGGTATTACAGGCACCCACCAACATGCCCAGCTTTTTTTTTTGAATGGTAGAGACAGGGTTTTACCATGTTGGCCAGGCTGGTCTTGAACTCCTGACCTTAAGTGATCCACCCGCCTTGGCCTCCCAAACTGCTGTGATTACAGGTGTGAGCTACCGCACCCGGCCAAGGATACTTTACTCTTTTGAAAGATTTTCAGGGGCACCACTTAAGGTGTGTGTGACATAAAGGCACCTGGGAGGGGTGAGTGCAGCTGAGCTTTTGGCCCATGTTCCTCTTGCCCAGCTGTGTGACCATCTGGAGGAAGGGACTCCTTTCCCACTCCACACTACACATTGAAGGCCTTGGTCTCCAGTGTGAAGATGACTGCACTTGTTTTTATTCTCAGCACATTTAGACAGGGAAATTGATCATCCTGAGCTACTGAGTACAGGTTTTGCAGACTTCTGAGGTTTTTCAGGTGTTAAGGGACCAGAATGTCCTTGAAATTATTACCCACCCCCCACCCCCAAGTTCCCATGCACTTTTCAGATGGGAACAATCCCAGCAGTCCCCTAGCGGAGCCTCCTAGTGTACCCGGCATGTCAGCTGAGGCCTGGGCGGGGACGGGACTCACCAAAGTCATGGAAGACAGTCGAGCAAATGGCGTGCAGCTGATTGCTGCCGCAGATCGTTCATCAGTATTTCTTCCCCTCTGTAGGCCTGTCTCCCTGGTGTTTTGCCTGGGAAAATCTCATTTGCATCCCCTGCCAGAAACATTTTAAAAATGGTAGCAGAGGGGAGGGCCCCTGAAACAAGCCCAGTGAGGGGCAGAGGGTTCCCGTAGGTTGTTGGGGTGAGGACAGCCCTGGTGTCTGCCTGGCTTGCCGTGAATGTGCCTTCTTGCCCGAGTGCCCTCTCCTGGAGGCTCTGGTTTTTTTGTTTGTTTGTTTTTTGTTTTTTTTTTTGAGATGGAGTCTCATTCTGTCGCCCAGGCTGGAGTGCAGTGGTGCAATCTCCGCTCACTGCAACGTCCGCCTCCCAGATTCAAGTGATTCCCCTGCCCCAGCCTCCCAAGCAGCTGGGATTGCAGGTGCGTGCCACCACTCCTGGCTAATTTTTGTATTATTAATAGAGTCGGGGTTTCAGCATGTTGGTCAGGCTGGTCTGGAACTCCTGACCTCGTGATTCACTCGCCTCAGCCTCCCAGAGTGCTGGGATTACAGGCGTGAGCCACCGCTCCCAGCCAATCCGGAGGCTTTGTTTTTATGGAAGGGGAGTAGAGCTGTGTTCAGAGAGGGTTTGGGGGAGCTTCCTGGGCCCCATTTCCCCCCACTCACATCCCCCTTTCTGGGGACATCAAGTGGGTTGTCTTAATGAAGACCTTTCCTCTTCTCATCTCCTGCCTGTTCTTCTCTTCAGATCATGAGTGACAAATTTGTAACCTCCACAAGTGACCACTTTGTTGAGGGCCAGACAGTAGCAGCAAAGGTGACCAATGTGGATGAGGAGAAGCAGCGAATGCTGCTGTCACTGCGGCTGTCGGACTGTGCTCTGGGGGACTTGGCTACCACCAGCCTCCTCCTCCTGAGTCAGTGCCTGGAGGAGCTGCAGGGCGTGCGCAGCCTCATGAGCAACCGAGGTGGGGCACCTGTGGGGCACCTGTGGGGCAGGGGAGATGGGCCAGGGGTGGGAGTATGCGTTGTAAATTACACCTATTGTTAGGTGAGTTGCTGGGCTTCCCAGAACATAAGAAAAAATTTTTTTGGTTAACTTTTTTTTTTAATGGAAGTATGACCTGCATAAAGTACTTATTATTATTATTATTATTATTATTATTATCGAGGCCAAGTCTCACTCTGTCACCTGGGCTGGGGTGCGGTAGCGTGATCTTGGCTCACTGCAACTTCCACCTCCCAAGTTCAAGCGATTTTCCTTCCTCAGCCTCTGGAGTAGCTGGGATTACAGGCACCCGCCACCATGCCTGGCTAATTTTTGTATTTTTAGAGAAGACAGGGTTTCGCCATGTTGGCCAGGCTGGTCTCAAAGTCCTGACCTCACGTGATCCACCCGCCCTGGCCTCCCAAAGTGCTGGGATTACAGGTGTGAGCCGCTGCGCCCGGCCATAGTGCATAGTTATTACGTGTGCAGCTTAATCAATGTTTATATTACACCCCTTTAAGATAAAGGCCATTACGAGCATCCTAGATGTCCCCTTCTCCCCACTGCCAGTCCAGAGTCAAAGTTTCCCTTAGTTCTGTGGCTTTATATTTGCATTTGTTGTGAATTCACTCACCTTTTCACCTTTCATTCCTTTATTCAGCAGATGAAATGGAACTGGGACCTGCCAGGCTTTGTAAGGGGTTATTATTCTGACCCTCTTAGACTTTGAACCATTGTGTGGGATTGTTGTAACTTTTTTTTTTTTCTTTTTTTTTTTTTGAGACGGAGTCTCGCTCTGTCGCCCAGGCTGAAGTGCAGTGGCCGGATCTCAACTCACTGCAAGCTCC